GCATTGTGCAATAAAAATTGCACAACAATCTCAACTGTAAGGCAAAATGAAAACTTCCAATAATCTACATAGCGCGGTATATACAAACTGGAATGTAGAAATGGGCACGCTCTTATCTTTGTTTGTGTATGTATGTGTTCACACATCACCTATTTTACGCTAAATACAGTTGTAACATAATTTTCATTTCTTTACTGCTGCTTCCTCCTCCACTACCTGTGTTTTCTTTCTTAAATTTGAGTTCATCAAATTCGTCATTTGGGGATAGGGCAGTAGCAAAATTCAATTACAAACTCGATAAAGGTAAAATCCATCCTAGGAACGTCTGAGCACACTTTTAGCAAAAATTTAAAACAAATGGTAATTGAAACAATATAAGTTGTAAAAGTTTATGTATGTATATACATATGTACATACATATATATGAATAGCCAATTTGTTTGCATTGCGTCATGCCATTCCAAAGGTCTGGGTTTGAGTCCTGGTCTGACCAACATCTAAAAATTATTAAAACTGAATTTAAATAAAAAAAATTCAGTTAATTTTTCTAACTGCGATCGCCCCTCAGCTCTTAAGACATGAAAGAAAGGCTCCTCATAAAAATCCATCAGCTGTTCGGAGGCGGCTTAATATAAATTGTATAAAGACACATACGTGTACATATATACATACCGCAAATTAGAGGAAGAGCTCGGCTGAGAATATTATGTATATATGTATAGTATGTTCATACATATGTATTTACATAGATACACAATCCCCGGACTGTGTTTTGGATAAAATTTTTATTTATTTTTTTTCCTTAAAGAACCACAAAATAATAAACAAATGATTTTTCTGTTTGTTTCTGGTATTTTAAGATATTCATATCAAATTTTTCTTTTGATAGCGGAATTAAGGTATCCTGATATTTCCAACTATTTAACATTTTAGGACTTTCTCTTAGATATATTTAAGTGTTCTAGATTTATTAGTTGACAATCGATTACATTATAATATCGAAAATACTTAACTAAGTACTTATGCATGTGTTTTGTTAGTGTATTTCTTAAGTTCTCCCTCTACGACCACTGCTCTCATTCAGCTGCTGAAAAACCAGTTCTCTTCGTTGTAGGGCATTGCTCCCACCGAGCACACTCCTTGCTCCACTGCCATTGTCCGTCCAACAATGCCAGCAGTTGCAGTTGCATTCCAGTTTAATCACCCCTAACCATTGTGATTTCGGGTTGTAGCGGCTTAAATATGGATGTATGCGTGAGTGTGTGTTAATATTGAGTACGTCGAAATTGAAACCAAAAAATCAGGTTAATGCGTTTTCATTGTTTATAACTGCAAAAATGCTTATTTACATACACAAGTGCATACACTCGTATACATACGAGTATGTATGTGTTTACTAAACTTTCAAAAAACAGAATTAGTCACGTATTGCAATTCCAACGCATTTATTTGATGAATATTACTGTCGTATATCCTATATATATGTACCTACTCTTGTAGTATATATGCACATTCATTTGTCGATATGTCCATCGAAATGTATAACATTTTACTTTTATTGATTACACTTATCAAACCTTTGTCACCCACTAAATACTCCAATTTAAATCTCTCCTGTACCCTGTCACACACTGTCAATATAAAATATCTTATAAAAATAAATAACTCGATTTTATGAAGTTCTAACACATGTCAATGACACTTCTACAACAAAATTTCGTTGGGTCAACACCAAGCAGTTCATTATACTAAAATAAGTTATAATTACATTTTCAAAACCAAAACCATCAGCATATGGACCACACACAATAAATATACTGCTGCAGACAAGCTACATACGCATATTAAATTTCGCTATTCTAGTTTGTTTCTGTAAATTACGTTTTTACAATTATTACAAAATAGTGTATAAAGCAAATATCTCACCAACTCTTCGGTGGATCCTTTTGAATTTGTATGTACCAATGATTTATTGTATACAAAATGACCTTGATTTAGAATTTCTTCACACTGCAGTATGTCACGTAATATCGTTCCTATGCACATACATATGTTACACTGGCCTAAGGCCGTTAATCGAAAATCCTTGTTATCATTCGTATCCTTACGTAAGTGTCTGAGATCACAAGCGTTCGTTGCCCCGCCTAAGTTCGTCATACCGTCAGAAGGTATGTGTACACTCGGTCGGTTCATTTGCCTCGTCATGATAACCTTCAATAACTGTCTAGACATACGCCATTTGGTTAATTTTTTGGTTATTTTTCGACAAACCGGCATACGCACATACAAATTTAAAATAATGCGTGTGCTATTGTTGCGTACTTATTCATTTCGAAGCTTTCAGGCCAATGCAATACCAAATATCCAAGCATGATGTCGGCTACAATAAAAAAATTAAACGAAATAAAATAAAATAAATCAAAAAAATAATATTATGTATAAATGAAAAAATTCAAATAAAATAATATAATATAACACACAATAAAATAAAATAAATGCAATGAAATAAATAAAAAAAAAAAATAAAATATAAATAAAAATAAAAATATAAAACGAAGTGAATTGAAATAAAATAAGATAAAATAATTAAAATAAAATATTTTAAAATAAAAAAAATTTAAAATAAAATAATATAATATAAAAACAAAATAAATAAAAAGAAAATAAAATAAAAAATTAAATGAAATCCAATGAAATAAAAAAAGAAATTAAAAAATATAAAACGAAGTGAATTGAAATAAAATAAGATAAAATAAAATATATTAAAATAAAAAAAAACTAAAATAAAATAATATAATATAAAACACAACAAAATAAAATAAAATAAATGAAATGAAATGCAATGAAATAAAATAAAACAAAATAAAATAAAAAAAAATAAAAAAAAATAAAATAAAATAAAATAAAATAAAATAAAAAAAGAGAAATTAAAAGAAATAAAACGAAGTGAAATGAAATAAAATAAGATAATTAAATTATACTAAAAATATAAAAATAAAATGAAGTGTAATGAAATAAAATTAAATGAAATTAATAAAAATAAAAAATTTAAATAATAAAAAAGGATAAAATAATAAATATAAAATGAATTCAAAAAGTAAAATAAAATAAATTTAAATTAATTAAATTTTATATTTGATTTGAATAATAAAATAAATTAAAAAAGATAACATAAAATAAAATAAAAATAAGATGAAATAGGATTTAACTTAATTAAATGAAATAAAATAAAATAAATTTAAATGAATTGAAGTAAAATAAAATCGAACACAATTAAATAAAACAGAATAAAGTTTCTGCAAAAAAACTAAACATTACTAGCGTCACCTCGTAATTTATTATTTTAACATGTCAGGCGGCGTACACTTTTCTTTCCAGCCAACAAACGACCTTGTACATTTTGGGAATTCTCTTCAGCTTAAGGTATACGACTCATAGTAGTAAACTGCCGACGAGTGCTTCGTCATAGGAGTCGTCAAAAGAAATTTTATTAATGTTATTGACTTCGTCTGCGCGTCTAACTGCCTCCAACTCATGCCTTGATACTTTTTGCAGGTTGTCCTTGAATTCGAGCATTCGCACGCAATATTTCGCTGTCAAACTGGCAGCGCTGAGTGGCTGTTGCCCTGCACTGCAAAACTTTCTTGCCTTTGGCTCGAACTTTATGGATGACTAAACTTGTCTAGATACCTACGTTGGTTCGTGAGACGAAATGTTTGTTATAATCAGTCTACCTACAAATGCAAAATACAAATACAAAGTGTATCATCGTCTGTCGCAGTCTCCGTACCCCTCTTTTATGTGTTTTGTCTGCCCTGACGTGGGTGCGTTTGGCTACTTAAAACGTAAGTGTAGTGTGCGGCATCTGATATGGCGGTATTATGCAACCCCTACGCTTTCATTACAAATCGTTGCCTACATTTAGGCGGCTGTTAACTAAAAAGATTTACATATTTACATAATATATGCAGATATGTGTATATCTAACAGTTCGTTGAATTCTTCCGTCTAACCTTTAAGTATATTTTCGTACAATCCTCGTATTGAGACGTAGGCGTCTTAACTTCCCACACGCGTTCGGCATCGCTTTCAATCCACTTGCTACCCTTACGTCAACCTACACAAATGCAGAAGGTATGATTGCGTGGGCTATATCGCGAGTACCAGTATATATTCGTACATATTTATATATTTATGAAATGATTTCAATGTCAAAGTCAAAGTTAAATAAAATTCATGATTTTTATACTTTTTTCAAGATTAGCTTAAAAGTGAATATTACAACTTAAAGTAATCTAAGTATAGTTATAATTTTACTAATTCAAATATTAAGAAATTAGGATAAACCCCTCATTACAAATATGTGTATATATACGTGCAGCAATTAAGGGATTTTCATTGAAGTTTTATAATGAACACAAAGCTTAATCCACATAAAAAGTTAATTTATTTATAGACGCCAACATTCAATTGCACACTCAAACAATATTGATTTCATACGATTTCACATCATTATGTATGAGTACCGACAGTTGGTTATGAGCTTGCGGTGGGCATACACTACTACGTCATAGCCGTAGTTTGCTTGATGATTTAGTAGTTATTTCATTATATATGTTACATACATACATATGTAATACAGATATCATTTTAATAAAACCATCATTAAACCATTTCATTACATACTATTTACTGTCTTATACAGTTGCACATAAGTACACAAATATAGGTTTATAACGTGCTATCATGTAATGAATTTAATTTATTGAATAGTAATTAAATAAATTTAAAAGACTGGTCTTCTAATGTAATAAAACGTAATTACGCTTAGTCTTGAAGAAATATTGGCCAATAAGCGCGCATATATGTATATTGTTACATAATTTACTAAATAGGTACCAAAACTATAATCTGTGGCAGTTATATATACTCAATTAAGCTATAATTTAAGCCAATCCAAATATTATGTTTTTAATTATGCTCTTCTCTTTCTTTTTTAGGTAAGTCCCTTTGAAGTCAATACACAAGTACAACAAATAGGATCTCAATTTGTTGTAAGTTTAAATATTCAAAATTATATTTCATAGTAAATTGTGAGTTTCCTGATTCACAGCTTTTTTGATTGTTTGCAATAATTATTCCTTCAGAAAATTTTCAGTAAATTTTTAAAGTTAAATTCAAATGCTTACACTCTGCCAAGCAAACCCCTTCCGTCCTCCCGATGCCGCTAATTTAACTTCGTCAAATATTCTTCCCACTAAAGAAAATGATGCCGATAATGTACCTTTACACATACAAGCTTTTTGAAATTGTAAAAGTAAAGTATGAACCCTTACCCGTGAGGAATTTGAAAAAATGTTGCTGATACGCTCCGACACACTTCTGTCGGACGAAACCAATCCTCACACATCTGACCACTTGAAAAAAGTGGTCTAAAGCACAGTTCAATGTGTGCGTGCATAAGTCAAATAATTTTTTAAAAGCATAGTTAAGCGTGAATGTGTGGTTGTAAATAGTTTTATAAATTCTGCTTAATGAAGTAATAAAATATCTTCTTTTTATGGGGTAAAAACGCTCTAGAGGTTGAAAAATAGATTCATTTTTTAAATTTGTTTTAGGATTATGGGAAAAGGAATAGAATTTCAATTTAACCAGTTCATTGAATATATATTAGTGTATAAAAAATATTCTTTAATTATTATTTTGTTGCAAAATGCTGTCCACGGGAGGACCGATTTCTTGTAAAGGATTTGACCTCAAACAGAAACGCAAAAAGTTGTATGATCTACAAACTGTTTTCTTTGGAAGTACGTACGAATTTATTTTTTTAAGTAATTTTTATTAAAGCGACGCACTTTTTTAAAAATATTTATTTTCTACTATAAAATACGCACTAATTTATTGAAAAAAAAAAGAAGTTTAATCAAAAAACTGCTACGTATTTCCAAAAGATAGTTATTTGTGAAGCTGCCACCAAATTTCAGATAAATCGATGGAATAGGGTCCGAATAATCTGTCCTCCCAATTTTGTTTTGAGAAAAGCGCCTTTAAACTTTCATTGTACTCAGCGCACGTTCTGAGGGGCTGCAGGTTAACAAAAAGCTCAGCTACTTAAAATATATATATTTTTTTTTCACTTTAAAACTAATTGCATATCTTGCTAGGACCAAAAGGTACCCTCCAAAATCCTAGGATGGCTTTACCCCTTAACCAAATGCATTTCAATAGCTTCCTTTCCCGCGATAGCCATGTGATTAGCTTTGCGTACTGTCAATATGAAGGTCAGCTTCTGATTTTTGGTGCGACCAATATCTAAAATTTATAGAATTTCAATTTAATTAAAAAAATTTGAGTTGAATTTTCTAATTGCCGTCGCCCCTGAGCAGGATATGTCAAACCTTCCGAATGTATGTCTGACAAGCAAATCAGAAGCTGCTCATTAAAAAAAACCGTCAGCCGTTCGGGGGCGGCTTAGTATGAATTGTAGGTTCCTCCATTGGTTGGTCAAAAACCGCTTACAAAAGCGGTCACAAAGCGCCAATTATATATATATTCCATTACCAAAAAAAAAACACAAAAAAAAAATCACATTTTGCTTTAAATTTACCATAAATAAATCTTTTACTATTTAGCACAAATAAACAGCAGTGTGCGCCAATAGTTTTGAAACGCCCAAAGCATAATTATTGAATGCTCTTTAAAAACACTTTTCGAGGTCTGGGTTGAGACATTGAATGCCAGAAAAAATTTCCTAGCAAGTACATACGAGTATGTAGGGCAAACAGAAAAAAATGTACATAAACCGCGTAGCAAAGTACATAGAACTGATATGCACACATATGACATGTATATACCTATGTACATTCGATACACTCACATATGTACACATATATATATATGTATACACATGAATTTTAGTAAATTCAGGTCTTCTATGTACCTTGCTTATACATAGACACATATGTATGTATTGCACATATACCTTTTTAAAAATTGCACAGTAAATATGCTTAACCTGGTTTACTTTTCCCTCTACGCCCGCGAAATGCATTGCCCATCTTTTTAATGTAATACATTGCATTTGTACATACACATACACATATGCATTTGTGTCACGATGATTTTGCATGCTATGAAAAGCAGTGGTGACACGGCCTTGCTAAATGCCACAATATAACGAGGGGGTGGGTGATCAAATACAAAATGCATACCCCAGAAATTGAGTTAGATGCTCAAATAATATCTACATTTATAGTTGTATTTACACAAATGAATGTTGTATATTCAGTATGTGTGCTCATACGAATGTGCTTACATTACACGGAAAATGCGTAAAAAATTTGATTTAAAATAATTACAGTGTTCTATAACTGTACTCGCAAAGTCGTATATAAGCCTTGACCGAGTTCACTAAATGTAAATGTGAGTAAATGCACAACCACAATCCCTAAAGTTGGATGCACACATACACACACATACAAACGTGCATACATACTCTTTAATACGGCAAATATAATTGTTTATTATAAAAAATTTGTGCGATGTTTTATATACTTGCATCAATTCATATACTGCATGGGGACATTTGCGCCCCTTCGTCTGCTCCTCAGACCTTTGCAAAGCTTGCCCCACTTTTTTGGGTCGTACATGAGTTGCCTTGAGTGCAGCATAAAATCGTGAAGTGTAGAATATATGTATATATTTATTGGTGTGCGTGTGTGTGTGTGTATTAATGCATATTTCTATGCTGCCAGTAGCAGTATATACATACATATACGTACATACATACAGCCATATAACACATTTTCCAATAATAAAAGCAAATCGGTGTACATAAATACATGCGAAAACATACTTGCAATGGTATTTATTGTAAGTCCTGCAATACGCTGCAAACTGTATGTTTAAGAGTAATATTTCAAGCCCTACTTTTTGACTACGGTAAATTCTACAATAGCTGCAAATCTGGGTCACTACAGTTACACTGACTGTAACACTGCAATTTCAATGCTAAATTTTTTTCGTCCTTCGAAAATTTGTACATACACAAGTATATAAATGCGTACATTAAAAGCTGCACTCAACTCGAAGTGATAATATCAGGTATACGTTACTTGTCATGAAACAGAATTCAACCTATTTCGCATATTCTTCTTTATATACCAGATATAACCGTTAACGCAATTATAGTATAGTTTCTTCGTTTCTTTTTTTCGTAAATCTGCGTGAATTAGAAACACCAAATGAAGTCAGACACTCAGATCGAATAATCTTTGCAACGGCGTGGACTTCTTCCTCTTCCTCTGCTTCCACCGTGCATCGAATACTTCCAAATCTGGAGTGTTCTCAGCCATCCGCACAACATGACTATGCGGGACTATGCAGGGCAACCGTTGACTCTTGATTCGCAAAACTATGCCAATGTGGCCGGTATTCCTTACTTTTCTTACATAAAACAAAAATATTGTCTTTAAATGATGAAATAAAGCCTAATAGAAATACTTATGTGTGCTGAAAGTTCCAAATAACTCAACACCTGGCTGACACTTTCCCTCACGAAAAATAATTAAATAAAGAAACAACGGTAAATAATGAAGCTAACTCCTAACTTGTTTGTCTAACTCCTAGTCTAGCGTTCATAATTGTAAATAGTATACATAATGTATAAAACACGTTTGAACGTCAGCATTATGTATCATATATATAGTATATGTATGCATATATGTTACAATTGTAAAACATTAAATAAAAACTATTTTCTAAAATATATATAATTTATATGTTTATTGCAAATTTCTGGAAATCGCAGAGTAATACGAATATTAAACTTACTCATACGACCCCGTTTCCCCTTCTTAAATATATAAAAAAATCGAATTTCTCTAACCAACATCAAAACCAAATACATATTTATGTTATATATCATAAATTTTAATATATAAATAATATTTATTTAGTTAATAATTCCTATAAGCATTCTGCAATAACTAGTTTATTTTCCCCGTGACCTAATTTTAAACTATAACCCCCATCGCTAATGAGTCATCACATGCACTTTTTTAGTATATACTGTCCAGTGACTCTCTTAAATCTCTTTTTCAAAATTAGAATCGTGGCAAAATAATAACGCTCGCCTCGAAATCTTTACTTCTATGTCATTCCCACATTTGAAGTAAGAGAGCTCTTCATTGTATCCTCCGAAGAATATTCTGTGCTCCATAAAATTCCCACTGCGCAGTGCATTTTCAAAAATCTCTCTTCTCTTTAATGCACTCTTTATTTACTTTCGCAATATTTACTGGTTTGGGTAGTTGAATTATTATCATCACATTTCCGTGTACATATGTAGGTCTTTTAAAATGCACAAATATACAAAAATATACACATATTTTTATTTAATTGGGTGTACTAAATAAGCATCTAATATCCGAAATAATTCATAAACAAAGGATGAGCAACACTTTCCTCACAGCTTGGCTCGGCATCGCTATAACCCACGTATTCCGTAGGCTATTGAGCATATGCTTATACATCGACGTTTTCATAAAATCGCATAATACTTCCAAAATATTATTCAGACATAAGGAATAAATGTTAAGACTCAGAAATTTGTATTTGGTTGAACGCATTTTGCGGTAAAAAAATTCTATTCCATCGTATGCCCACCACGAAACTAATTTCTGCAACTTAATTTCCTATAATTGCAGAAAGAAAAATTGCAGTGTGTGACTGCAGGCTAAATTTCCGATTGCTCGTGATGCACCAGCAGTTTTTATTTCCCTTGCAAGTGCCATCAAACGATTTGAGTATTGTCACCAAAGGTTTCTGATAAATTATTTTCGATAATTTCAAGGAAGTTGTTATATGCTATGTATAACAACTCCTGAAATTAGGTTTCGAAATTTTTTTAATTTACATGTAAATATCACTTCTTATCACAATGCATAAATATACACCTATGGACAAAGTTTTAGAGAATTTACCACTAAAGCAATGCAGTCACAAGTCAATATAATTCTCTAATTGAAAAGAAATAATTCACATATAAGGAAAGAGCTTTTCTGCATAAATTGTGTACAAGGGAATAAAAAAGAGCACAACAGATCCGAAGTCATTAAAATAGAACGAAATTCTGTAGGCACCACGTCGCAAGACTGACTCTCATGATCGTAGACTGTGGAGATCGTTGTCGAATTTGTGCTACGCGAAGTGCCGACAAATAGCACATCATTTACTGATTCAACCTCTACTCGAGAACATTGCTCGTTTGGCACCTCAGAAACTCTCCCTAAATCTGCATATTTTTGCTGCTAAAGTCGCGCTATGTTTCATTGTTATCATCATTAACATGAAAAATAGAACTAGCTGTATTTAACAGCTCTTTGGATCCCATTAAATTTGTAAGATATTCTTCAAGAGGAGCCAATACCATCTGCTTGTAAACCCACCGCCGATTGCTCTCGAGACTTTCTTGTAATTCATCATTTCTTTTCTTCACTTTAATTTTGAACATAAAATATATATGTATATGATGAAATAAGAAACATTTGAATTTTATTTCATATTTTAATATGCGTTGCATCATCCATCGCCATTCCGCACATGTGGTCCTACTGCATTAATTTTTATGGCAATAACTCCTCTTTTAAATTGGAAATTCCCAGCAAAATGTGGCTTATTTTCCAATTCTGCCATAAAAATCTCAAATTGAGCGTTTGCCGTTAACCGCCTTAATTTCTGTATCGGCTGTTACGATGAAGGATCGTCAGTAAAATGTCTGACAATGAGAAACGATGGCAATGCTCATCACCGTTAGCATACCGCAACAGCGTCATCTGCCGATACTGTTGACGATGGCGTTGAACGATTTAATGCCCGATAAAGCGCTATTCTGCAGCGACAGATTTGGTAAAAACATATTTATCATGGGAGCAAATTATTTCTCTTGCAAGTGGACCGCCAAAGGGCCGATTTGAATCCATTCGGGAACCTTAGTTGATATTGGTAAGAAAGAAAAATTAAAGTCTCGACGAAATTGGAGCAGATGTGCGGGAAGGACGGTGCCTTTACTTTCTCAGATGGGCGCCAGAAATAAAAAAAAAATATATAAATATGAGGTATTCCACAAACTATTAATCAAGTTAATATTAATAATGAATAATATTGATCTATACGAGTAAATTATAAATATAAAATAATTTTGAGATCAAAAATATTTGATTTTGGCTGAAACTTGTCCATGTTTAAGTAAATAAAAATAATTATGTAATTAAAAAAATTAAAGTTTTGCTTTCAGATACCACATCAAAAGCATTATTTTTTTCCATTTCTTTAAACTCAATAAAATCTAAGCACAGCTAAAACTTTGTCCATAGCTAAGTACATATATGTATGCACTCTTACAGACATTCGTATGCATTTTTGTGAATTGGAATTTATCAAAGGAATGATTAGAGATATGAATTCATATGAAGTAGTTTCATATGATTAAACGTATGTATTAAGTACCTCATATACATACGTACTTACATTTGCGCTAATTTTTTGGAATTATTAAAATAAAAAAAATAAGCTCATGTATTTATAGTACTCATTAAAACATGAAATATATTTTAAACCAATGGAAAATTCATTAATAGCTTAATAAATAACAAAATTTTGGTGATTTTTGCTTAAAAACTTGAGAAGAAACTTGCTCCCATAGCCAATTGAAATATCACTGGAAGGTGTTTACAGTGTGTGCAAATATGTACATACACAACTTTTCGAATTCCTTCACTACTTGACGAATGTACATACATATGTAATTAAATTGTATGTATGTAGCGGCGATAATGCAATTCTATACTCTCTTCCCTCCTTCTTTCGTGGTGAACTGTCGCCTTGGCACACTTGTATTCGTTCTAATTCTCATATGTCCTCGATGCTTTTTTTTTTTTTTTTTTTTTTTTTTACACTTCAAATTGTATTTTACAGTTACAAGGATATACCAAAATGCATGTTGCTGCACTTGCAAACGAGCCTTTAGTGCAGTACTCGGTTGCCTTGGACTACTTGGTTCGCCCTCATCCTCAACTATATTAACATAGCTGTACATATGTACATATTTATGTACCAACATATGTACGTCCTCATAAAAAATGTTAGCTTGATTGCGAGCATTATATAATATAATTGGGCATACATATGTTTGTATATATGTATTTATGTACATGATGAACTCGTTTTAATGTCACGATATTTGCTTCGCGCTCGTGCTATCATCATTCCGGCTAGCGGTATTTTCCCATTGAGCACTAATACATTCACAGTTGAAGCCGGCACGTCGCCGGTCGTACTCCTAGATTTCACTTCGCAGCCATTTATGGACTTTGTCTTATCATATCGTTTTTCCGCGCTCAATATTGTTATCGAATGACCGTTATTGCATTTGCAAATATAGAAAGTGATCGATTCTTACACTGCCCTAATCTTCGAATCGTCGTAGCTTACAGGAATCCGAAAAAATGCGAGATCCTTGTAATAAAAATATGAGGGAATTCAGTCCAAATGTAAATCTTAACCAATTTTAATAACTTTTTATTAATCTATGAAATCATTTTCCAAGTTTTAATTTTAATATTTATGCATATTCATAAAGAATTCATTTAATGTTGCATATTTTATTTTCGCAGACAAACAAATCCAAATTCAAATGTACCTGGAAAGGCTGCAAACACATAGAGCACACACCGAAGAAAATCGAGAGGCACATACGAAATGTTCATCTAGGGTAAGTAAGAGTTACATTAATATAGACGACGATCGAGTGTTGCCTAAATAAGTGTTTGAAGATCCTAATTTTCCATGAACCAATTTACGCAATCCAGGCAAATTTCGTTTATGCCAATTTATAAATGAGTGCGAAATCTTTATATACTTTTTATACGAAAAATAATTTTTTGGACCATAATAAAAAAAATGAATTGCTGTACAGAAAATAAATGTTCTCATAATATGAGCGCAAGGCTGAAAGAAAGAAACAAAATCCTTGAGAAATCATGAGCAAAGTTGTTGTTGATATGCACACGCAGTCACCTTGGCATAGTAAGCAAAGCAAAGTGCAAATTAAACGGCACAAGTGGTAAAAGCAATACAACCTACAACCATTGTAATGCACAGCCACTCTGAAGACCTGCTGCTGCTGCCACTGTAACTGAATACGCCGCATTTTCCTTTCCGATCGACCCTCAAATGTTCGGTTCGGCTATTTGAACTGGTGTAAGAATCTAGGCCATATGCAGTTGCTATATACATAAACGCCTATACATTATGTATACGAATATGTTTGTAAAAGTGCATATCACTCTCATAAACTGTCTCATACAAAATGAATAACAACATACCAACAACGATATTGTCATGTTCAAATGCATGCGTTATGAGTCCAAGGTTTTGCACCCTTGCATTGCACTTCAGGAAGCCACATTTTCAATATCTCTACCACACTATTTAAAGACTATATTGCTTTGCCGTGGACTCAATTTGTAGCATCTAAAGGTGAAGATCAAATACATACATCTATGTCACCTCGATTTTTAATATACAATTTTAGCAGCGTGTAGTTTTTCCAAATATAAGACTTTAGTTTGTTTTTATATGTATATATCTATTTCTAAAATTATAATTGTTTATAATTTTTATATATACTTATTAGCAACTCTAAATCCTAATACAAAGCGAACATCTCTTTCTTGGCTTTAATTTGCCAAAAACTTATAGAAGAAATGGTCATACAATAATGTAATACAACTTAAACCATCGGAAGCGAAATAAAAACTAATTACATTGTAAAACTCCCGGTTTTATATTTTTCAACTCAATCAACATCTCGAATGACAAAAATATATAAATTAACTTAGTAATCTCTTACATACATATGTTTAAATCCAAACTAAAGAACACATGTTTCCATTGAGAAAATTAGTAATTTATAGAAGAGCAATTAAATATTTTCTGACCACACAGCAAAAAAAAAATTTAATTGCTACGAAAATGGGTTTACTCTTACAGCGTAGTTGATATATTTATGTGGGTATATTATTTTAAAATATCAAATATGAATTCGGAACTTCTACACTTAACTTCATATATCTTAATAAAACTTGATCCACTCCTTACAGTTTCTCATATTTATATTCATTATGTATAGACTTATATTGCTTACAACTAGGAACTATGATCTACCGTCTAGATAAATATAATGAGGAGATATAATATCCAGTTAAAACTAACGGGCTAAATGTTGAAGAAAAATATACGCCGTACTGTGTAATTAAACTAACATTCAATTCAATAATTGCATATACTTAATATAAATAAACGCGTTCCATTTAGGATTGTATGAAGTCTTATATAGAAATGATATTAAGCAGTATCAATGTTAATAAATTCTTAAAAGCTGAAAATGGCGATTTGTCAAATTTATTAGGAGTTAAAATGTATGTTTTGTATTTGTTGTCTGCGGATTAATATACTATAAAAATAAATGCTTGAAATGTGACAAGGGTAAACTAGTATTTTCCATTCGAAAATTTTGATTTATATTTTAATACATATATGTTAAAATCTGTTATTTCTAAATTAAGCGCATTTCATATCTAGTGTTTGGTAGGGAAAAATATTGGAAAATTGCATACTTAAAAAAGTAAGCCACTATAATTAAATTTACATTATTATTTGACTTATATATTTATTTGATACGTGTCTACCACTAGAGAAACATAACATCTAGTTGACATTGGCTTTCACTCAATTACATATTCAATGTTTTTTATATGTTAGCAAATAAGTATGTATGTTCTTTGAACTTATAATATACATACGTGTATAAAAGTTCTTTGTATATGATTTATATAACCATTTGAACAAATTTACAAAAAAAAAAACATTTCGAGCTTAAAATTTTCTTTCTTACACAAATATCCTGCCAATACATCACAAAATAACAAAGATTCACAAAACCTTCTCTGCTCGTCCCTTTCCCAAAATTTTTGTCTTTGAGTGAACCAAATTCAAACGAGCATTATATGTATAAAATAATCTAAAATAAATAGTTATAAACGACGTAAAATCAATTATAGCTAGATGGTGGCCATAAACGAATCATAGCAAAATTGAGTAGTTCACACGATTCTAGTTTAATTATGAGTGTTCATAAGTGTATGTGAGATTTCCATTGAAGTTTCGGAAAGCCCATTCATCGTCATGCCATTTGATGAATTGCTCGCTGAAATTCAATTATTAGCAAATAAATAATAATATTGTAAATATATATTATAACCACCATGTTAATATCGAAAAAATCATTTATAAAATATGCTTACCATTTCGCGCTCCCTGAGGGTTATCCAGTTGAGACCAATATTGCTCAGAAGGACTTTGCGTACTTGTTCCAGGTGGTGCCTGAACTGGTGCCCCTGTATATCTAAAGTAAGGATTTTTCAAATCCAAAGTATTACTTGAGGATATTAGGGTGCCTTCAATATGTAAATCGATTGTCACATCATACGACTGCCGTCGATTGGCCTCTAGCAAGACACGGCCAGTTAAAATTTGTCCTTGTTTAATGAATATCGGCATCGGTAAAAGACATCGGACTTGGTACCAGTGCGTTAGAGGTGCAGTTGGTGATGTAGAAAGCCATACTTGCTGGTTGGAACCACAAAATTCTACATCAAACCAAAAGGCTAGACCATGACAGATGCCGGTTTGTAGAATATGGAACTGGAGGGGTATGTCTGAAAATACAATTTAATTGTCAAAAGATTGCTTAAGAATTATTAAAATAAATTAAGACTTTATACCTATATTATGCAAATCATTTTCATTGTCTCGAATAAAGTCGCACACATGTCGAACTGATTTCGCCATACAGATACGTATGTCGAAAGTATCGACAATAGGCTGACGGAAATACTCTTTCATTCCTTCCTTATGTAACGTAGTTAAATCAACACCATGAAACGCAGATTGATACCAAAAATTAGCTTTGTTATATTGCTCTGAATAAAGAGATTCGTCAGAGAACGGTGCAATATGTAAATCACCGTGTGTGGGAAACATTTTTCCATTTGGTTTTAACCATTTTCTAGCGTGCAAATATGTTTCAAGCATGCGCTCATTGTAGAGCATATACCCCATTGGTTCTGATATTATTACATCGACCATTTCCGGTATATCAATTTCTTCAATTTTTCCAGGCATTACGAATATTTTCTCTTGTACATTGTTAGAGTCAACCAATTGCTGGGCATATTGAGCCATATTTGACGCTTCAATAGCGTAAACTTTAGCTGCTCCCGCCTGAACAGCGAAAAATGATAAAATCCCAGAACCAGCTCCAACATCCAAAACTATTTTATTCTGTAATAATATAGTAGTTATTAACTTAAATATGTGCATATATATAAATATATATATATATATGATTTACTCACATGAAAATCAATAGAATTTCCAAGAATTGCTCGTTGGTATGTACTGGTACGGACATAATCTTGCATCATATTCTGTTGCTGTGATAAATATCCGTAAAATTGGAAATACTGTGACGCGGAAGACTCTTCGGTTCGTTGTGAAAATACTGATTTTGGTCGGAGATGTTTTACGCTATCAACTAACTTTCGAAACCGCTGTTGTTCTACAAATTAGAGAAAAGAGTGCATAATTCCCAATGCTTTTAAACTATAAGTCAAATTATATTACCGTAAGCAGAAGTAAAACGCAAAAGCAAATTATCATTATCCAGGGAAAGTGCAAAGGTTTGACGTCCGATTTGAGCAGATTCTGTGTCATAAGCGAGTAAATACTCTTTCAATACATTCGAAGTGTTATTTTCTACAGAAAATAAATGCAAAGCAGATATATATATGATATATTAATAATCAATAGCATGAACGATTTAATTTTTTTACTGCATATTTTGTAAAATTACTTACCTTCGGTGATTTTCAATATGACTCCCTGTGGATCATATATGCATATCAATGTGCAACTGTTCTTATATTTGGAACTAAATTTTAGATTTGTTTCATCTGAAACCTCACTCACAACGACACCGCTAAAGTTGCATGTGCCGTTTACCCCGAGTCCTCCGTTGTTAGCGCTACTACCTTCTCCATTATTGGTAATTATAAATACCTCGCTGTTGTTTTTGCTATGACGACCACTACTTACTAGTGAATTTAGAGATGAGGAAGAATTGTTGCGTTCTACTCCTTCATTGACAACAATATTATTAAAGTTAGCTGCCATTTTTAGAAAGTTTTGGGGTTTCTTAATATTCGTTTAACCGCTTAGTGTTAGATGCTGGTAATTGACTACGCAGGATTTTTATTGTTTTTACCAGTTAATTAATCTACTTTTCTTTTGATTTTTATGTATTTTGTTGCGCTTTCTACAAAACAGCGTTTTGAGAAATATATGACAGCAAAATTAACTGATGTAACTATTCAGGCAAGAATTTGTTCTCGTACAAGACAATTTTATTCTTAATAGTACCGTGCAGTGTAGTAGTGTGATAGATATTAACGCACATACATATATAATCAAGCACAAACTTGAAAATCGTCGTTAAAAAAAACTTTCACAATATTTTCCGCAAATATAATGGAAAGCCCTGAACTCAATGAATATTTTCGATGCCTTTATACGCCTGTATTGATTTGCTAAGCCCTTTATTTCCAACGTTTTATGGGCCGTTCTATTGCTTTTCAGCTTGCTTCTTCTTCCAAGGTCTCTTTGTCGCGAACACGTTTTTGGGTACTTGTTTAAAATAAATTAAAAAATTTATTTATACTAGGACCACGATATTTTTCAAGAAAATACTTTGAGGACACTGAAATAATTTTCATATACTTCCAGTTAATTGCAATAAAGATTTTTTACTTTTTATATTATTGAAGAAATAAACGCTTTAATTTGACAACAGCACCATACGCAGACGAATCAACTACACGAATGACAGCAACTAGCAATCATTTCATTTCATTCGCCACCATTGCCCAAGATAAACGCTCGAAGCTTCTCTACATCATTTGTTGCCCCGTCTGCTAGTTATATAGTTGTCTCTTTTTAGTTGTAACATATGGCAAGCAGGGTTGGTTGAACATTTTTGTAATAGAAGGTGACTTGTGTGAATATTGCCGTAAATCTTTTATTACGATTTGAATTATACCCTATTCATATATAGATATTCATATTATATTTAACTTTTCTGTTTGTTTCCAGAAACAAGAAAGCACGCCGCTCTGCAGATTACGATGAGTCTTGTAGTGAAAATGATCATGAAGAAGAATTTTATTATACCGAAATTGAAGATGATGAGGAAGATAACAAAACACCGAGCCCAACATCGCCACCTACTCTCAGCCACCGCGACATGGCGCGCCCACCTCACGAAGACCCTGAATACCAAAGAAAAATTGTGGGCAATTTCAAGTAAGTTAATCAAAATATTAAAACTTGCAACATGGATGCTTGTAAAGGCGTACTAACATTATCATTTGTCTACTGACACTATTTTGAGTTTTGTCCATTTGTTTTTAGTGAGTTTGTTTTGACATAAAGCATTTTATTGTTTTTCAACACATAACATTCGCCATAACCAAACTTTATCACACGTTCAGCGCAAACAATTAATGACGTTTCTTTGGTTTTTTCCTTAAAGGCAAGGACGTATTAACCAACATCAGCAGTTGCAACACAACCAGGGCCAACAGATAAATAATTGCAAGACAGTTTTTCACGGTGGCACTTATATTACAAACAGCAATATCCAAGATAATCAGCAGATGCAGAACAACTGCGTATCGACTTCACCCCTAAATCACCACAACTACTGGCAGTCATCTCCAGTACCGGGAGTAACATCTACACCAACAGCCATTTCATCCGTCACGCAAAACTCAAGTCACCAACATCACCATAATCCGCAATCCCAGCAACAGCAGTCTCAGTACATAAAACACATTCGAGCATCACCACGTCCGTCCCAGACGGCAGCACCTTATCCATCGCCAACGTACCACCATAACTATAGCAGTAGTCCCAATTCTTGTATCAACAATAATAGCAGTGGCAATGTCAATCTCAATAATAATGGCTGTCATAGCAACAACAGTTCTATCATGCCAAATAATGGCGGTGCCAATAATATGCTACATCAATTGTCGCAACAAAATATTACGGTGACGGCTCATCGCAGTGGAGCTCATCAAAATCAGCCACACCAACAGCAGCAACTGCCCGCTGTAACAATTACGCCAAACTATACGAATCATCAAGTGCAGCAACAACAATTACAAGAAATTCATAGCCAACAACAAACATCGCAATCTAACATTTCAGGTACTGGACCTGGAGTAACAGTAGCCTCGGCACATGTACATCAACAGCATACGACACATCACGCCCAACAACAACAATCACAGCATGGAACTATTGCAAACACTAATAAACTCACAGCAAACTCACCAAATAGACGCACACGAGGCGAGAATAAAAAATGCCGCAAAGTATACGGTATGGAACGCCGCGATCAATGGTGTACCCAATGTAGGTGGAAAAAGGCGTGTAGCCGATTTGGTGACTGAAAAAGGGTCAAAGCGTCGACGGCGACGGAAACGACGACGACGGCGACAGCGACAGCTATAACTACAGCGAAAATGATTTCGACGATGAGCACAACGACAGAGCATTCAGCAGGGGTTAAATCGAAATCAACAATGCATGTAATGGACACTGGCAACACAATTACTGTTGTGTCAACCTGTCCGAAGTACAAGCGAACGAGCAACAATTATAACAATAATATCGGCCACAGCAAAAGTGCTACAAACAAATACAAGTATTTGGCAGCTTCCGCACCAGCAACTGCCGTGGCCACCTCTGTTATTGTGAAGCCACTAAATAATTTAAGAAAAACAACTGCTAGCAACAATAATAACCACCAGAATACTGCCAATGGCAGTAACATTGTCCATACACCGCTGACTAGCAAACATAATTATGGTACAAAAACGGACGCTGATGCACATCTACAACCACTGCAACAAAAACAAATTGCTGCAACTGCCAATAACAGCAACAGCACTAATAACAATCAACTGCTGACCACTGCTGCCTCAAACGCTGAACCGGACACTCGTAAACAAACGTCGCTGCCAATGCAAAATTTTCCTTAAACACCATCAACACGAAAACACGGGGGCTGATACCTTCTGCAAGACCACATCATCACTGGCCGCTAACACGATAATGATAAGGACAATATGACAGCCACAATAGCAAACAGCATTTTTTTCAAATGATTACTTTACGTACATATGTACACATGTCTGTACATGTATGTAGAGTATACATATGAATACAAATTGGCTAAGTTCTTTGAAAATTTGGAGCAATGTTATTGATGTATTTAAGAAACGACTTACAATTTTTTATGTTTTTGTTTTTGTTATTGTTTTTTTTTTTTGTTGTCTTATTTGAATAATAATAATTTTGATCAGCCTTCATGGCAATTTTACACTATATAGATTAATTATATGAAATTAGTAAATTTTTTCTTTATATATGCAATAAATATGTACATATATACATATATACACTTATAAATATATACATAAGTATATATATAAATAAAATTTTACATTATTAAATATACATACATATATATAAATAAATGCGTATAGTATTAAGAATTTCAACCTTTCGCGGTTCTACCATTAATCATAAGGAAATTGAAAACATATGTATACATGCACAGTTGCTGAGCAGGTTTTGAAAGCGTTGCAAAATACATACATTTGTGTGTAAGTTACAATAAACCGTTAAAATAGTTGAGGAAGCAAACAGCTCTCAACCCAATAAATAGTCTGTATCTGATAATTATATCACTGACATACGAGAAAAAAAATGTTGATAGACAAACGAAAGATCAGAGCCGATATACATACATATGTGTATGTTGCATAAGTAATAATATATATAGATACTTAAGTATTACATTAAACAAGATCATATATACGGTAATGTTTAAATTCAGATAAATAGCAAAATATTAAAACAAGACAAAAGTTATTCATAAGCAGACGCGAAACAAACCAACTCAAAACTAATAAATAAGTTATTTATGTACATACATATTTAATACTTATGTCTACATATACACAAAAAAAAGTAAAAATATGAACACTAAACGCAAGCAAGTAGCAACTAAATCCACTTTCTTCAATTACTTCCATAAAATTAATCCCAATTTAATGTAATATTTTTTTTTTTAAATAGTAACAACGGGGCTTCTTTTATCACATTTGTATGTATGTATGCAAATATTTGCATTCGATTGCATGGAGCAAACTTTTTAACAAAATCCAATTTTTTTTTATTTATGACCATACATATGTACATATGTTTGAAATGAAAATCAGATATTTCTTGAGAAAACTTAAATTTCAGAAACAGTCGCAAATGATACTAAACGCCTGCTATGAAAAAATTAATATTGCTATAAAGTGAAATTATTGCATGATAGTGAAATTAAAATGTGTTCAAATTAATATAGTTTATAGCAATTTATCTTTTAAAATTAATTTTTGTCTAACCTGCAATATGCACATTTCGCTCTTTTTATTAAGAATAATTGCAAAATTATTTGACATTTTTGTGCCTAAACTCACCTACATACATATGTATGTATGTTTGTAAAAACTACTGTTATCTATGTTATTAATAATGAATTTCATAGAAGCTTAATTATATGACATGAAAAAAATTAAGACCTATTATTGCACTATTTCATGAATAAATATGCGTACATACATATGACAATGGGTTATCGCCGATATTATAGAAGAAAACAAAATCAAGAAAGTTTTCTTATGTCAAATTTGTATCTTTGACTCTTAACCCATTGCTAGAACAGTGATTTAAATGAAATTCGTGATATTGGCGATCGGTATACATACATACATATGTTTGTGCTCATTCAAAATTTAACATTTTACCATTTGTATTATATGAGACAGACATGTAAATTAAGGACATTTGTGTGTCTTGTATATCTACACATTTTTAATTAATAATGAATCTATGTTGACATGTACATACATATATTAATACGTTTTGTGCGATACGTTTTAATTTTTTTACCCTTACTCACATCTTTCTCTGTTAAATAATTTTTAAATACTTGTACACACTAACATATGTATATATATAATTGATTTTATTTTTGAAAATTACAAAATTATTTGTAAGTGATATTTTTCAAAGTTTCACCGAAGTAGTACGTATTAGCATAAGGAGATATGAATAAAAGTCACTTATTCAGTAGCCACATCAAATTGAGAACAAGCTAAAGAAGAGTAAATGTATGGAAAAAAGCACTCATTTGCACTCAATACATGCCCAACTTCCCTTGTTTACAATATCCACATGCTTACATACATACATTGAGTTTATTGAAACTATAAATACAAAATATACATTTTTAAATTTAATAAATAATTGTTATTTATAATTAAAGATAAAAGCCTAAAACTAAATTTTCTTTCTTTCATTTCATTCCTATGGTTTCACAATCACTGTTGCTTTTATGTTTGTTTTGTGATTGAAATTGGGAGTTGGGATGGACTTTTATCATAGGCTGAGAGATACTACATTTTTCTGAGACACTGTCCATGTATTGATTTCGTTTTATTCAGTTAACTTCCCATCCTTATCGGCGGCCGCCCTAGCCGAGTGATTAGCAGTGCGTATTACTATCATGGCCCGACCAAGCTCGAAAGTTACATTATACATATATATAATTTTGGTTTTTTATATTTGAGGTCGACACTCGGCAGTGAATGACAAGCCCTCCGAGTGTATTTCTGATGTGAAAAAAAAATTTCCTCATAAAAATACATCAGCTGTCCGGGGGATGTAGGTATTACCATTTTTCAGAAAACCGTCAAAACCTTAGATTAGAGGAGGAGTTCGACCGAAAATCTCTTAAGCGGTTAAATATTTATATATAGTTCTACCAAAGCGTATTGATGGCGGAATTCAGTGAACTTTTTAGATTCTATTTATGTAAGTCGTTTTGCACTTCAAAATTTGAGGTATGCCCCTAAAAATATGCAAAATAAAATTAAATCATGCATTGATTGATATAAGAACCCAGTAGGAAAATTTGTACAAATAAGATGATTCATATATGAAGATGGTGGTGCATGATAATGAGGATAAGTACGTAATGTGTGCTTTTTAATAATTTAAATAAAGTAAACAAAAATAAGTACGAAATATGCGAACAAAGATGTGTGATTGTTTCAATTGAATATATTCCAGTAAAAAACTGTTCTTTCTTTTTATTTTATTTATTTTAGGCTTCATTTTCTACCCGAAAAAATTGTGTATTCGTAATAGTTCTAAAATTAGAAACGAGTTCAACCGCCGGTTTTGTCCTATCAAAAATTTCAGCCTCTGTTTATATAATTTGATCCTTTAAAACCAATTTTATATGGAAAATTACCAAAAAACGGAAGTTAAGAAGAATTTTTTTCAAAAGACAGCCTTTTCGAGGATTGTTACACTGCCTAGACTAACTTTTGGTTTGCATTTTGCCATTCAATAAATCGTATTTTATTTTTTATTTTCGAAATACATATGTACATAAATTAATGCTCAAGCGATTTCTTGAAAAAAAGCCAGTAAATGTAAAAATATTATCTTTCATGGGCTAGGTCGACAACGATGTTGACTTATTCAATACAAAATATGTATTCAATAGCCGTCAATCGTAATTAATAACAATTACGGTAATACCGATGGGGAGATATGGGAGATAATTTAGTGCAGCCCAGGTATTATTCCATTTAATCTATGAAGCCAAACTATTAAACCAGCCGTATGAAGGCAAACAATTACATTTTTAGCACTTCAAGTTTAGAAACAATAAATATAAATTTCAAATTGTTCAAAATTCAAATTAACAGATTGAACGAAGAAGCACATGAAATGGCAGTCGCAGTTAAAAGGAAAATGAAAATCTTGCTAAATAAGTAAATATTGTAAGGTAATATGGAAAAAGACTTTCAAGCTCATTCTCGTATTTCAAGCATCTTTCGCGAAACTCTAAGCGACAAACTGTTGAATAGCAGACTTTACATAAATCTTCGTGCTTACAAAAGACTATCCGAAACTTTCTTTAAAGTTTGACCACGAAACATGATTAATGACATCATCATATTGAAATACTTCAAAGCTGAGAGCAGTTAGTTGTATAAATCAACGGATTCAAATGTAACTAGTTTCCACTACAGCCTCTTCTTTGCTGTTGCAAGACATCTTACTTTTTCAATTTCGTTACTGGTTACTTCTTATTGTCATATCTAACCGAACAGAGCTATTCAGTAAAAATTCGTAACAACTGTTTCTGCCCACCAGCTCACCGAACAGGACTATTATTGTGACATTCAGAGTACTTCCTGCAAATTACTTGATGTTCCCTAAATAATTCGTTTCATTAATTGTTTACTTTTAGTCACAAAATTGTTTTCTTTAAACTTGAGTTGATTCTGTTGTTGTTTTCTTGAAACACATTTCATTTCTTATATGTCCACTGTATGCTTTTGAATATCAATATTTTTGCCCAACATTTTCTCCTATAAAATTTTTATACGTTTCCCTGATCAAAACCGGCTAAGACGACATTTGGTTAATTTTTGAACAACTCTACAAATTTTATTGCAATAAATTAAGCTTTCTTGCAACTATTTTCCATTGCGACTAGTTCAAAATAACATAAATATCATATCAGTTGTGAACTATGATAAATATAATATAAGAATCATAATACCAATCATCACGGAACCTTAAATGTAAAAAAAAAAAAATAATAGCCATAATAAAGAAAAAAGATGTGATTGAGATGATACGTGTATTTTAAACTAAGTAAACGAGTTAAATTAGACTAAATTATTTTAGTTTTTGAATTACACTTTAACGGATCTGTGAAAGACTTCAGCCATAAAAAAAACTTACAGACAAATTTAAGTATAATAACACAACCACACAATTATTAATACATGCATATGTATGTATGTATAAAAAAAAACTCGTTAACGATTAGTGTTAAATACTCACATGCAAATATATATATAAAAATATATAATTGTCAATACTGAAAAATGTACTTTATAGTTTTAATTATAAAAATCGGCAAACTCGAAATTATTCACATTATATGTATGTATGTAATATTAATTAAACATAGGAGACGAACCAAGCATTAAAATTAAATTATTCGTAAAACTCGAGAGAAAATAATATACTTTAACACTGCCAATCATCAACTCGTTTTCCAATTTTCAATCGCTTATAAAAATTGTTCACTTAAACAAATTAACTTAAAATATGTGTACTAGGATTAGAAAATATTAAAATTATTTTAAAACTATACCCATTATTAACAATTCTGAATATGACGAAAAGCATTACCTTCAAGGGCGCTGTGTATTTGGATGGATACATCAGAAGGAATTTGTATACTGGTTGATAATACGTGTATCAATGAAATTCTCACATGTAAGACATATTCCTATTTTTCCAAATGCCCTGCCGTCACCGTAAGGGTAGCAAGTTACATAATAATTAGAGACTGTTTTCCGAAAATGTGACACCAGAAAATTTCTTCTCTTTTGCTTTTCTTGAGAGCTGTGTACTTACTTGTCTAGTCGTTCAACTGACTTATTCCAATACTGAAAATTTGACGAGAACGATGAATATTGTATTACATAAGAAATTATGTAGTTTGGCAATCAACGTCAAATATATAAAAATACTCGAACTGAGCAAGCAGGAATGTGAAAGCGACTGGCTTACTCTCCTGCTCTATCATTTTTGCAACTTGTTAAGAACGGTATTATATAGAGGTGTCCCGTTCTCTGGCAGACCTACATGTAGACAAATGTTTGATGAAATTACATTAACTCGTATTTGGAGACCCATCGAATGTTTGCGGTTAATTTTACTTGGGCCGATTACAAACGACCCTGACAGTTTATAAATGACCTATAAAATGCTCGGATCTTGAAAGGGTGTTTTTTATGTGGTCTTAATGTAATTAAAATAGAAAAGAAGTTAGGAAAGAGCTCCCAATCTTTCTTTCTTATTAAAATATTTTCCAAATCGAGTAAAACTTCTCGATTTCAATCAAACTAAAATTGGCAATTTT